CACACACACATTCTCTCTCACTTACGCACATTTATAATAATTGTACGCAATAATTACATTCTAAAAATTTTTATTTATTTTGTTACTTAAAAAATATAAAGTTTATAAAAATTAATATTACAATTATAAATACATAGTAATTAAAAGAAAAACGTAAAAATAAAATAATACAATAATATATACAATAATATTTATAAATAATTTTATAAATTAATTATAATAAATTATAATTAATAATTTATTAATAATAAATTTAAAAATTGATCAATTAAATTTATAGAATATTATCATCATAGAATACTATTACGTCAAAGTTAAAATAAAATAATTGTCAAATTTATAAAGGTAAATATGATTTACATAATGTACCGATAAAGATAAAATTATGAGATATAATACTTTTTTCTATTTTTGAAATATATATTCAATATATATTCAATATATATAAAAAATATATTGAATATATATTCGCAGTTTTTTGTATATAATTACTCGTTCGTATCGACCGCGTCCACGACCACGACCACGTCCACGACCTCGTCCATAATTTTGTCCTCGGCTTCGTCCACGATGTCCGCCACGACCACGGACATTCGTCGCAACTTCTGTCATCCTTTGATTTTGCTGCAATTGTCGCAGTTCTCTTTGCAGCTCTCGTATTCTGTGAGCAGCTGCTAATTGCTGCTGTTGTGACTGCTGCGGCTGTTGTTGCAAAGTTTGTTGCGCCTGTAACTGCTGTGGCTGCTGCTGCTGCTGTTGCTATCGCCCTTGCAATGGCGTTGGCAGTGGCGGAAAATCGCGATCGTAACCTGCAGCAAGCAATCGTTCTTTACGTCGCTGTTTTGTTTTAGCATGAGAGCGCTGTAATGCAGCTTTTCCCGGACGCCTCTTTATATATTTACCTATAAATGTGAAGCACAAGTAATGCAAGTTATAAAAATTTAAATACGCCACCGCTTATAAGTTTCCGCAAACTATTATTTTTAATGTTTTTAATATATTTATTAAAAATTAAGAATGTAAGGCGCAAAAGAAGCCTGTGCTGGTTGTTCGTGCATGTATGTATTGAAAACAAATAGTATAAATAAACATTTCTACTTCTTATTAGGCCTTTATCGATGTTAACAAGAAATAAAATATACAAAAATTAAGAATTCTTACATAGTCGCACGAATTTTAAAACTATCATTAATAATTAACATATTGTGACGGAGATAAAAAGAACCGTATGCAATTGTAAGAAAAGACGCACGCAATTTTAAAAGTTATATATTCATGAACAAGTAATTCCGCAGTTTACAATGTTAGAAACAGGTTCAGAGTGTCCAGAAAAGTTAAA